ACAGAATTGAGTGATAATGATTTGTAGGGAAATTTTCCTAAAAATTACAGCCTACAATAAAAAACTATTTCCATGCGAAAAAATGGTACCGCTTTCAGCACAAAAAATCGGAAGGAATCATACCGCTAGGGAGGTTAAGACAAGTAAATGCAAAACAACAAAAAAAAAACTAAAAACCATGCACACACACAAACAGTTTAAGTAGAGTAAAGGAAACTGCCTGTGACTGTTTTATGTACTGAAGTTGTGCCCTGTGGTTACATCTTTTTCTGGCAAATATTTAGTTTTCCTTTTGAATTATTGTATTGTAATTACAAACATTTCCTTCAGAGTTTTGCAAAGAATACATATTGGGTAATTGGTATAACTGTATTATTATAAAATGTACTGATATATGGTATAAAAACCGTCATTGTGATTGTGAATTTTATTTGTTGGAGAGCAAAAACACCAATAAATAAGCAGCAGGGTTGAGTAAAGCATGTACTCAAAGGAGTACATTTCTATATAATCTCATGAAGCAGATGGTTAAAAAACAAAATACAATACCTTATATTTCTAAATAATTCACCCCCTGCAATGACACAATGATATTACAAGTAATAGGAAATTGTCAGTGTTCGTTTATAGGACATGGAACCCAAATGTAACCTTTAATATTTTATATTTCAAGACAGGGGTGTTAGATAGTGAGAGTCATTAAAGTCAGGACTATAGACATGACTACATACAGTATACAAAAACAATATAACCACTACATGTGGCTGACATGCCTGGCAGAATCACAAAGGCTTTTCTGGTAAAATGGCCAGTGCCAGATTCAAAAATCCCTGCTGCCTGTTTCGGCAGCTTTACCAGCATATGTGGCAGAATCAGGTCAATTCAATTAGCACCACATTCACAAAAATACGCTATTACTGCACAAGGTAAGAAATGAATTATGTCCCAGTATGTAGATAACAAATCAGAATGTAATTAACCAGTTCCCCTCCACCCTATAGAAGTTTTACTGCTACAGGGCGGACTCCTTGTGCAAAATCACTTATATGTGATCCACGTTCGCAGGCAGGGGGAGCGCGCCCGCTGGCCTGGCAGTGCTGTGATTCAATACAGAACTGATCACTGACGAGATTCAGGCCAATATTGGGTATACTCAAACAGAGCTCAGCCTGTGCCTGTCTTTACATTACACAGGCACAGGAAATTATGCAATCTTCTCTCCCTGGAGCACATTCCATCCAAGAGAGAGAAGAAAGCAGATCCATGTCAGCAAAAACAGCACACTTTCACAGTAAAAGCACTGCTAGGTCACATTTAACCCCCTGATCACCCCCCAGTTAACCCTTTCACTGCCCTGTCACTGGTGTCATAAGTACAGTTTACAGATTTTTTTACTTTTCACTGTATTAGTGACTTCAGATAGCATCAGCATCCCTCCCAGAAGTGTCAGATTGCTTGCCACTACATCAGTCATCAGATTTAACCCCTTGATTGCCAGGAACATGCTCACATACACAATAAATCTCCATTGCTAGTATAGTGTCTGAAGGAATCAATATCTTTGATGAGATCAGAACTATACCAGCATCCACAATAGTATAGTGTTCCGAAAAAGGCAGCATCAGCAGGATCATCCCCGACTTCTGTAAGCACCTGTGTTTAACCCCTTCCCCCCTCAGCAAGTGCAGTGTCAGTAGAAAACTGTCACTTGATACATTGCACACAAAAATGCAGGGCTAGCAAGATCAGGCCTGATCTCTGCTAGCAATAGCAGGTAAATTGTTTTGTAGTGGTTCAAGCAGTCCCTGACAGCCAGGTGCTCTTTTTCCAGTGAGTCGCACTAGGTACCTATACATGTAGTGGCCAAAATTGCCAATGAAACTCTAATAAAGAGGCCTATAGGATGTAGGATAGTATGTCAGATGAGTGCGAAGGGGAAACCTCACTGACAGCATCGGCAGCAGAATATAGATCTCTAGAGAGCAGCGGCACCCTGACAAATAGGTCAGATGATGGAGTAGAGAGTCCCTGCTAAAGTCAGCCGTGCCCAATCCTGTTCCCAGTTGCTGAGGTGTTACGATTGCATGATGATTCTCTGATCCAGCAGAGTGCCAGTACTAGTGCCTCTCTACCTTTTGGTGAACTTGCAAGCACCAGCGGCCTAGAACATCCTGGTCTTATACATACCAGCACTGCAGTATCACTTGGTGATGTCAGTAGTCCCATAAGTGTAGTACAAGGTGGTGCAGTGGCTAGCACAAGTAGTGTCCCACAGCCACCAAGAATTTGCATACAGGCCCACAAAGCCCATAGTGTCCTTTCAGATGTGCTTGCAAATCCTTATTGTCAGCCCACAAATTCTGCAGCACCAGTACTTCCCCCGTTCACTGCCCAACCAGGAATTCATGTGGAAGCAGAAAATTTAACTACTCCCCTTGATTTTTTGCAACTGTTTTTTAAAGAAGATCTGTATGGATTGATTGTGGATCAAAACTATTTATACACACAAGAATTTATCGAGGCCAACCCATATTCAAACCTTGCCAAACCACTTGCATGGAAACCTATTACAATTTCCGAATTTCAAGTTTTTTGGGCCTAACCCTCAACATGGGCATTACTAAAAAAAAATTAATTGCGGCTGTGTTGGCCCACAAACCCGCATCATATGCCCATATTCTCTGCTGCCATGGCAGGCATAGATATGAGAATACAATGCAATTTATGCATTTCAGTAATAACACACTCTGTCATCCTCGGGGTGACCCTGAATATGATAGGCTGCACAAAATTTGGCCCCTCATAAATCACCTTAACCAGAAATTTACAGATGTGTATACTCCCCACTATGCTCGCCCTCAGATGAGTCCCTCATTAATTTTCCTGGCCGCCTTGCATTCAAACAATTTCTCCACAGCAAGCATGCCAGGTATTGGGCCAAAATGTATAAGACCCATGAGAGGGCAACAGGTTATGCATGTAATTTTTAGATTTATGAGGGGGGAAAGATAGTTACATGGAACCCCCGGATGCCCAGACTACATGGAGAACAGTGGCAAGATAGTTTCATACTTGGTGTCACCCTTTTTCCGTATGGGGTACCACTTGTACGTGGATAATTTTTATACAAGCGTGCTACTATTTAGATATTTGTACAATTTTGGAATTGGCACATGTGGCACTGTGCAAACCAAGCTTCCCCCAACAGCTTGTAAATACCCGGCTCAGAAAGAGGGAGAAAGCCTGCTTGAAAAATGATGAATTGCTCTCAGTGAAGTGGAACAAATGGGATATTTTCATCCTGAATTACATTCCTTCAGACACGACCATCCAAATTGCCACGGCAGCTGGTGTTGTTGAGAAGCCCTTCTATGTCCACAACTATAACCTTAATATGGGAGGGGTGGACTTCAATGACCAGATGATGAAGCCGTACTTAGTTTCCCATAAAGCCAGACAGTGGTACAAAAAGTATCTTTATATTTATTTCAACTGGCTCTGTCCAACGCTTTTGTGCTTTACAAAGTAACAGGATGAATGAAGTGGATCCTTCCTAAAGTACTAGGAAAAGATCATCATGACCCTTTGTATCCAGAAGGTGCTAGAGCCCAAACCCCCAACACAGATGCAGTGAGCCAGCTGCATGAGAGGCATTTTCCTGATAGAATTCCTTGTACCCCAACCTAAAAGTCACCCCCATAAAAGATGTATCTGTAGCAGAATTAGGTGTGACACCCATTTTTTTGTCCCTCCTGTCCTGGCCAACCTGGTTTCTGACTCAGGGACTTTTTTCGTCACTACCACACACTAGTAGAGTACTAGTATAGGGTACAGCATGGCACAGTCTAGGGTACATATTCACACAGGGTCTCGAAGAATTTTAGATAGTCAGGAAACTGGCTATCACATTTTGCGAGACCCTAACATCTGAAGTTTACAGTTTAAAAAAAAAAAATAGTTGTTTTATTGAGTTACTGTTTTATTAACTATTGTTTCTTTTCAGGAATGCCATTCAGCTACATCACCTGTTTATTCTGACAGCAATAGGGTTTTCTCTCAGAATATATGTCCATGTGTACAGTGCTGCTGGATGAGATTTCTCATCAGCAGTTAAAAAAAATAACATATATGCCCAAGCATGGGGGCATGGGGTGGTCAGTGTGTGGATCACTCCTATGCTTAGGCATATATTTTTTTAAATCATGAAATTGTTTTATTGTTTACTGTTGTTTTCTTTACAGGGACGCCATTCAGCTGCAGTACTGATCTGTTTATTTTATTCAGCAACAGGTGTGCTCCCAGAATATATGTTAGTGTGTGCAGCACTACTGGATGAGATTTCTCATCCGTAGTTTAAAAAAAAAAAAAAAAAAAAAAAAAAAAAAACATATGCGCCCAAGCATGGGGGCCTGGGATGGTGGGTGGATCACTCCTATGCTTTGGCATATATTTCTTACTTTTTTTTTGTAAAGATTTCTTAATCCACATCGATTATTTCAATAGAGGAATCTGTTAGGTTCCTTTTTTTCCCGTTCAGCCCATGGTCAATGAAAAAAAAGAACAAACATTTACGTATGCCCAACATGCAGTGCAGTGTATTCTAATAGTGGGCATACCACACACTTTTTGTGGGCAGAAATTTCTTCACTTTTTTCATTCAGCCCACAGGCTGCATAAAAAAAATAAACAAACATAACATACACTATATTGCCAAAAGTATTGGGATACTCAGGGGTGGACTGACAACTCATGGGGCCCCCGGGCAATAGGGGATCATGGGGCCAGTATGTCCTTGCCCACACTCAAACCACACCCAAAAAGCCTATTAAAAGGTACCAGGGGCATCTCATGGGGCCCCTTATTGACCCCCAGGGGGCCCTCAGGCAGTGCCCGAGTTCTCAAATGGTCAGTCCGCACCTGGGGATACCCCTCCAAATCATTGGATTCAGGTCTTCCAATCACCTCCATGGCCACAGGTGTATACAATCAAGCACCTAGGCATGCAGACTGCTTCTACAAACATTTGTAAAAGAATGGGTTGCTCTCAGGAGCTCAGTGAATTCAAGCGTGGTACCGTGATAGGTTGCCACCTGTGCAATAAGTCCATATGTGAAATTTCCTTGCTACTAAATATTCCACGGTCAACTGTTAGTGGTATAAACAACATGGAAGCAACTGGGAACAACGGCAACTCAGCCACAAAGTGGTAGGCCACATAAAGTGATACAGCGGGGCAGCCAATGCAGAAGCGCGCAGTGTGCAGAAGTCACAGTCTGCACTCAATAGCTAAAGACCTCCAAACTTCGTGTGGCCGTCAGATTAGCAAAACAACAGTGCATAGAGAGCTTAATTCATGGGATGGGTTTCCATGGCTGAGCAGCTGCCCCTTCCTTTTCTATCATGACTGCGCACTAGTGCACAAAGCAAGGTTTATAAAAGACATGGATGAGTGATTTGGGGTGGAGGAACTTGACTGGCTTGCACAGAGTTCTTACCTCTACACGATAGAACACCTTTGGGGTAAATTAAAGCGGAGACTGCAAGCCAGGCCTTCTTGTCCAACATCATTGCCTGACCTCACAAATGTGCTTCTGAAATAATGGTCAAGCATTCCCATATACACAGTCCTACACCATGCGGACAGCCTTCCCAGAAGAGTTGAAGCTGTTATAGCTGCAAAAAGTGGGTCAATGCAATAATGAACCCTACAAAACTGGGATACCTTTAAAGTTCATGTGTGTGTAAAGGCAGGCATCCCAATCAGGGGCGGATTAACCATTTGGAAACTCAGGCAGTGCCGAGGGCCCAGGGTCAGTAGGGGGCCCCATGAGATGCCCCGGTACCTTTTTCATAGGCTTTTTTGAGTTTGGGCAAGGACACAGGGGCCCCATGAGTTGTCAGTCCGCCCCTGATCCCTATACTTTTGCAATATAGTGTATATGCCCAACAAGGACCATCGACATACTGGTAAATCACTGGACTTTAAGTGGTTATATCAGGATGATGCCTGCAGCTGCAGGCATCATCCTGGTATAATTTTTTTCATGGTCGGATTTCATGTAAAAGCAATCTTAGCAGCTAGATAGCCAAAGGATTGCTTTTACAAGCAGTGGGAGGAGATAAACCTCCCAACTGCTGTCTTCCACAAATTTCTCAGGCAGTCCCATTCCATAGGGGAACCTGAGAGTGCAAACTGTGTTTCTGCCAGTTGACCATAGAGCTGTTAGGAGACCTGAATGGCTTCAATTATCTCTATAGTCAAAGAAACTGGAAGCTACAAGCATTTCATCACTTCTTTTGCGGGGTATAAACAGCCGCATTTTTAAATTAGGAAAGCATATGATCACACTGATCTTAGTGAGATCAGATGATTTATGGGCAGAGGAGATACCTAGAGTCTAATAGACCCCAGATTTCTCAGTACCCGTCACTGCCTATTGCTATCACAGGGGATATTTAGATTCACTGTGATAACAAAAGTGATTCAAAAAAAACAATGAAAGGGATAGTGCAAAAATGGTGGTTAGAAGAGTGAGTGATGTGTGGCATAAACTTTTAATGCTGGGCATAAAATGCATAAAACCGCCCCCCCCCCCCCCCCCCCCAAATGGACCCTTTTTGGAAAGTAGACACCATAAACTATTTGCTGAAAAGTATGTTGAGCCAATATATTTTTCACCACAAGTTTTTGGAAAAATGGGTATATGTAAATTACTGCACAAAATATATTCTTCCACTTCTCCTGAGTATGGGGATACCACATGTGAGAAACTTTTTGGCAGTCAACTTGCGTACAGGACCCCAAAATCCAATAAGCACCTTCAGGCTTTTAAAGGGCTTTATTTCCTGATTACATTTCCTGACTACCTATCACAGTTTCAGAGGCCCTGAAATGCCAGAATAGTACAACCCCCACCCCTCCCTCCCCAAATGTACCCTTTTTGGAAAGCAGACACAACAAGGAATTTAAGAGGCATGGTGAGTATTTTTCAGATCGCATTTGTTGTCACAAGTTTTTGGAAAATTAAGAAAGAAAATTAAATATGTTTTTCTTTCTTTATTTTTCAAAACCTTGTGAGATCTGCAAAATACTCACCATGCCACTTATTAATACTCACTTATTGCCACTTATTCCTTGGGATGTCTACTTTCCAATTTCAGGGCCTCCAAAACTCTGATAAGTAGTGAGGAAGTGCAATGAGGAAATTACCATCAGGCTTTTAAAGGGCTCATTGGATTTTGGGGACCTGTATGTGGCTAGGATGCCAAAAAGTCTCTCACATGTGGTATCCTCATACTAGGGAGAAGTAGCAGAATGTGTTTTGGGGTGTTATTTCATATATACCTATGGCATGTGTGAGCAATATATAATTTAAGTGATAACTTTATGTAAAAACAAAAAACCCACAAAAAAGTAATTTTCCAAAAATTTGTGGCAAAAAAAATCAAATCTTTCATGGATTCAACATGCCTTTCAGCAAATTCCTTGGGTTGTCTACTTTCCAAAAAGGGCCATTAGAGGGTTTTTGTATTGCCCTGACATTTTAGCACCTCAAGAAATGTGATAGGCAGTCAAAAGTAAAAGCTGTGTAAATTCCAGTATCTATACCATAGTTTGTAAACGCTATAACTTTCACACAAACCAATTAATATTCACTTATTGGGATTTATTTTTTTTATTTACCAAAGACATGTCACAAAATACTTTTTGGCCTAAATGTATGATGAAATCTTAGTTTATTGGATTTTTTAGAACAGAAATGAGAAAGTATTAGGGTTTTTTTTCCAGATTTTTTTTTTTTTTTTTTATAGTGTAAAAAAAAACAGAGGTGATCAAATACCACCAAAAGAAACAATTTGTTTGAAAAAAAGGACAGAAATGTTGTTTTGGTACAGAGCTGCATAACTGCTATTACCAGCTAAAATAGCTCAGTGTTGAATAGCAAAAAATGACCTGGTCGGGGGGGGGATTTTCCGAAGGGCAAGTGGTTAAGACCAACTGTAAGTTAGCACACAGAGACAGAGTGCCTGCCTCTGTACTTTGTGTGGCACAGTCAAATGCCTCTTGCCAGCAGTGATTCTCAAAGTGCCTGATGGGAAAGTAAAGGCACTAGTTCCCCATCAGGTTGGCTCTCTCGTTGTGATGGACAGCAGACAATAGGTGCATTCTATATCCATTAGCATGCTTTCTATTTGCTATGGATCGACACACAGCCTAGCCAATCCTAGCCAATCACAAGGGGAGCAGACCTAACAAGGAACTAAAGTCATTGAATCCCCATCTAGCTCTTCCCACCCAGTTTCAAAAATCCTCAGTTGCTGCACTGTCTGTGTGACACCTGTTGTAGCGGGAAGGGGTTTAGCTGCATTGAGGATGGAGTGCCTGTATGGACACTTTGGGGCAAGAACTGTGTGCGGAGATGCATTGAGACCAAATTCATGTGCCTTTCTACAACAGGTACATGAACATGCCCTCTGCAGTGACATTTGTTGGGCAGACGCAAAATGGCATTCTCCAGTGTCTTATACATGCTTTATGAACTCCCCTGATGTTTGTCTCTGGATCACATCAGCAAAGTCACCACATGACCACTGGAATAAAGAATGGATAAAAAATGTGTTCATAGTAGGCAGTCAATATTTTAAAAGCTGTTCAGACAAAGGTTTACAAAACATTGCAACATTGATTTAATTTACCTGAATTAAATGAATTGCCTGCAGCTCTTCACAACTATGAGTAGTAGGGTAAGGTCAGGAGAAGAAGATGCAGAGATTTGGAGAAAATAATCCCAAAGTCTGATAAAATCAGATTATATAAAAAGAAATACATATACAGTTACAGTATGCTTATTACATAATTTGTAATTTTAAATGGTTATTTTTGTGTAAGCCTAGTGAGTTCAAGACTTCTAACACAGAATCCAAAAAAACCTTCCTACAAGTATTTAACCTCAATCTCATTTCTAAGGCCCCTTGCACATGGGGTCATCTAGGCAGAGACATCGCACAAGCCAGAAACTGCCATGACAAGAAATTCAGGTACCACCCATCTCTATTAGTTCATACCAACAGCCCTGAGGAAAGGGAGGCTAATCCCCAAAATGCCTTGGCTCTATTTATACATTTTTATGCTTTCAATAAACAATTCTATTCTCCCATCAAGAGTTGCATTGTTCCAGGCACCAGGTGCTCCTTCCTCTCCATTCAAGTATTGAGGGTACCTAGGGACACATTCATGTTGATAGTTCAATCACTTGAAAAGAACACGTTTGCTTTAAAAAGAACAGCTTGCCACTGATCATTTTTTACAGTAGTTGCCATTTATATATTTATGAGCTCTATTTATGTTTATATTTTAATGGTTACATTAGAATTGCCTCTTCTCAATGATTATTGAGTTACTGTTTTGTCATACCTGAGGGCTTCCATGCCTCTCTTTAATTTCTTTACACTTCTATACTGTGTGTACTCACATATTTTTGTCCACAGCAGTTCACTTTGACTTTTAAATTATTCCTGTATATACTCAGGGCTTGGGTTTTATGAACATGAGAAGAGCTACCATCTGAGCTCTAAACTGACACTTATCAATATTTCTTTTTACTTTACTTTGCACATACTAAATGGTCAAAAAGCATTCCTGCGCTTTGAATTGGTGCTCCAATTACAGCTGTCTTGGACTAGTGCTTGTAAGTACTTTTGCTGTGCATAATCTAATATTTCTGATGCCACTTTATGCTTTTGGAATAGCATTTACAACACCCATTCACTCATATATAAATATATAATGGATGCTCAGATTTCAGTGCTGGACATTTATTACTTAAGTTTATTGCATCATTTGAAAGAGTGCCATTACTAATTACAATATTGCATTGAACTTTTAGTAGCTTCATTGCCATTAACAATGACTACTGAAATAACTAACTAATACTAAGACAGCCAGGGATACACTTGTTGCAAAGGCACTTTATTCATACACTGGATATGAGGATGCACTGATACCACAAATGGAGCACTCTATTAAAAAAAAGGTTTAACATTAAAACGAAGTTTGCAGGTGTTCTTCTTTCAGTATCTGACTCAAAATGCACCTGCTCTTCATCTGAAAGCAAAGCAGCATGTTTGAGTTATTCCTGCCACCCATGCAGCACATACTTGCCTGTCCTTTGCTCTCCCACCCCCCCCGTTCAGTTACCGATAGGGATGAGCTGACAGTTGGGTCCGAACATAAATTCAGACCTAATTTTGCCTGTTCTGACATTTTAACAAAATTCTACTTTTAGGGACATTTACAGGATTTTCTGCACCAAACATCCTATAATGCATTGCAAACCACTCTCAGTGCAAGACTCTCAAGTCATTTCATTTCATAC